ACTAGTGGGATGCTGGCACAAGCTTCTAATCCAGTCCTGATGGAGACTCAGATGGGGCTGTGCCATTAGCCAAACGGCCCAACTTACGCTGTTTCAAGGAAAAGTGTGCCCTTTATTTTCTGAGAAATGACAAGGACGGTGGGTGTTTGGAGTGTTTATTGGCTTCTATGGATTGATACGTGGTGTGTGTGTGTGTGTGTGTGTGTGTGTGAGAGAGAGAGAGAGAGAGAGAGAGAGAGAGAGAGAGAGAGAGAGAGAAAGTGCGCCAGAGAGTTTTTCTTCCCTACCCTGCTCCCGGGGCAGCCAGAGCTGGCCTTGAAGGTGGTCTATAGAGTTAACATCCACGAACTATCATCAAATGTTGTTTTCTCTTTTCTCTGTGGTTCTCCGACCTTCCTGGCAGGATTGATCATACCACCATCCCAAGGTGAATCATGCTTTAAGATCCCACATAAGACGCCTATGGAGCCCCTTTGATCCACTTCCTGAAATGTGTTCCATATTGTTTCTCCATATTTCTGTTGCGAATTACACTTCCTTTTTTTCCCTTGCTTCCCAGCAGAGTAAGAAAACAACATGTCACTCTTTTTTTTCCTTCTAAACAATGATGTACTTGAAGCCTTTATTCAATTCCTCTCCCTATTTTTCCCCAAATGAAACGGTGCCAGATTCTTTAACCTGTCGTCAATAAGAACTATTTATTATCTAGATTTACATAGTGTCTTTTACCCCTGGAACTCAAAATGCTTTCAGATATAATTGAGCCTGATCTCCCTGGTGCCTGAGCCATTAAGAAACCATTAGTGTATTCCTGTTGCCGGCAGCTAAATGGCCCCCTAGTGGCCTGAAAGTGAATATGCTTTTCTAAGTGCTTCTCCCCCACCAAGGTTAGGCAGGAACTCAAGAACCAAGGCAAGTTTGGGGACAGAAGGGACCCAAAAGGCCATCTTTGGTGAGTATCCTCAATCACCCTGGAGTCTCTTGTACATCATCTCCGTGGAGTCTCTGCAGCGTCAGCTCAATGACTGTCTCTGTTGCCAGTCGCATTGTCTGCTCCCTGAAGAAGCCCAATCAACCTCAGGGGAAGCAATCCAAGCAGCAGCAGGAACTATGGCCCTGAATGTAACAGACACTGTGTTGAGAGGAAGCATTTCCAATTTATCAGGTAGTTACCATCTATCTCCATTTTGTAGAAGGAACTGCTTTGAAAGGGTTAAGGCACTTACCCAAGGTCACAGAACTAGAATTCAATTAAAACCCATCTTCCTGACTCCAGCCAGGGCTTGGGTGCTTGATCCCTGCTCCTCTCCACTTGGCAGCACAGCCAAACCTTGTCTTGGTAGTGGATTTTGTGACACACCAGCCAGGTTGCCCATGGGATGGGCACACTCATTCCTCCGGCTGGCATTGGCCGTAAATGGCTCCCTGCTGCTGTCTGTCCCTGGGAATTGTCCCTAGGAAGGCACCAAAGGAAGTTGCCTATCTCCCCACCTACAAGACTAATAAGTGGAGTGAAATCAACGTGTACTGGCAGGAGCCAGAGACAGACCTGTAGGTCAGAGGTCAGTGGGGTGTGGGAAGGGCTAAACACAGTATGGAATCAGTCTATTGTTATGGAAACACTGTCCTATAAGGCAGGATTTTAGACCCTGACAAAGACCTTGGGAGACTGGCGAAACACCAGAAATAAAATGGAATGTCAGAACTGCCATGGAAGAATGTTTCAAAAAGAAAAACAAAAACAAACAGGACAAAAATGAGAGCGGGGGATGCTACATTGAGTGTTATATGTATGGCTAGGAACCTATTTAAGTTTGGCAAGAAGACTCAGACAATACTTAGGTATCAAAGCAACAGGAATGTCTGGTGGAGAGGATGCCAGTATCGTGGAGCTTCTCAGTGCAGGCTGTCCTCTGTAGGCCAGCAGAAGGCCCTTCCAGAATAACTCTGGGAGATAACAGAAGCCAGTTGCTGACACAGCGAATACGAACAGCATCCTGTGGGGGTTCAGGAAGGTAGATCTCTGGAACAGGTTGATGCTACAGTATTTCTCGGGCGAGCTAGCTGGGCAGCTCACAATGGTACATTGGCTCACCTGTGCCAGGGGTTCTCAAACGTTTTAGCTTCAGGTTTCCAGAGCTAGTCTTGATAGCACAATCATGTGGTCCCAACCTACCTGGGGGAAATCATTTCAGGCCAGGAGTTCAAGACCAGTCTTGGCAACACGAGACAGATATAAAAAAATTGAGGTCAACAAAAAACTTTCGGGACTGGAGAGATGGCTCAGAGGTTAAGAGCATCGCCTGCTCTTTCAAAGGTCCTGAGTTCAATTCCCAGCAACCACATGGTGACTCACAATCATCTGTAATGAGGTCTGGTGCCCTCTTCTGGCCTGCAGACATACAATACATAATAAATGAATAAATAAACAAACAAACAAACAAAAAACTTTCGTTTGTGTGTGTTATAGTTATTGATATATTGCCACATTAAAAAGAAGGCAGGAATTTATAAAGTAATATTTTATTAGAACATTATAATTCCATTGCATGTTAACAAAGAGCATATTTTTATGAAAATAAGTATATTTATTTTGAAAATAGTTTTTAAAAAGTGGCTTGGCTTTACTTATTTACTTTCTAAGTGGCAAAGGCTCTCCTTGGACTCACTGTTTTCCTGCTTCAGCCTCAGAATGCTGGGATTGCAGATGAATGCTGCTATACCTGACTTAGGGTCACTGTTTGTTGTTGTTGTTTGTTTGTTTGTTTTTGAGGCAGCGTCTCACTGTGTAGCCCCGGCTTTCTAGAAACTCGCTCTGTAGACCAGGTTGGCCTTGAACTCTAGAGATCTGCTTGTCTCTGCCTCCCCAGTGTTGTAATTAAAGACATGTGCCACTATGCCTGGCCAGTTTCACATTTTTACAACTCCCTTGAATGTTGCTTTATGGAAGACAGCTGGAGTCTTACTTTTGCTGGCACTGTGTTCCTTCGGTCAAAATATATAAAGAAAATCTGGCATCGTGTAGATATGTGGTTGGAAAATAGATGAGTGTTTTAGTAGTCTTTCAGATCAGTGTGGCTATTTTTTGTACTACACCAAATCTCAACGAGTACTAAATGGAGGTTGCAATGCAGACTATAAAACGTTACTAGCTGAGTGGTGGTGGCACACGCCTTTAATCCCAGCACTTGGGAGGCAGAAGCGGGTGGATCTCTGAGTTGGGGCCAGCCTGGTCTATAGAAAAAGTTCCAGGACAGCCAGGGCTACACAGAGAAACCCTGTCCCCCCCCCCAAAAAAAAATATTAGTGAAATTTTGGTACTTGACACTAAAGTCATTGTCCACCTTGCTCTTGAAATGGCACTTTTACCTATGTATTACTTTGTAACATTCTGCTTTGGCTATTAGGAAATGTTGATTTACTGATGTATGTGTATTTTCAAACATTAGAACATTTAATTATGCAATATATAAATCATATTTAGTAATACCAGAAACAGTTTAACCTCTTGGAAATCAGTCAAGGTCATAATATGGTGCATACAGGTTATCCTAAATCCTATTTTTACTTGAAAGGTCAGGTTTTTATCCTTAGTAACGGATGTCAGTTTTCCTCCAAGTGACAGGGACACTTGGTTCACATTTGAGGAAACATCTGCCAAGTAGTCAAGTCTGGCTGACAATCACTTTCTGTCAGTTATTCCTCAAGAGAGAAGGTGGATAGTTCAGTTCACTTGAGTGACTTCCCCCAAAGGACAGTTATGCTCTCGTGCGGTAGAGACCTTTACATCAGTCACCTGGAATATTAGAAAGAGATGCGTGAAAAGTGTCATGACTTAGTTTAACCCAACAGCGGCTATTGCTTTGTGGAGTACATTCTAAAGTAAAACTGGCTTTTCCTTCCTTTTCTTTCTTTAACTTAGTAATTTATCACTGGCATTCCATTTAGTTCCATTTGGTGCCATTTCCTTGTTGTCCTTGTTGTTTAAAGATGCCAAAAGAGTATGTACTACCACTTTGCATCTCTGTGCAAATGGCAATGCAGTTTTAAAGGCAAATGAACATCTTGGCATTAAGAAAATAATTTTGTCCTTGTGAAATCTCTGAAAAAGTCTAAGAACTTACGGTAAGACTGGAAAATTTGGACCACTTCAGGATGTAGGGATAGACAAGTCCCTCCTGAATTAGGGGAGCACTTCAGAATGTAGGATAGACAAGTCCCTCCTGAATCAGGGGAGCACTTCAGGATGTAGGGATAGACAAGT